ATCAGTACTTCCACTTTTACCAGAGTATTTTTTAACACAAGTATCTGTACTTTTACTCAAGTACGGAAAGTGAGTACTTTTGCCATCTCTGCTGATTAGCAGTGTTGCTCGAGCCACTCGGTGCAGATCCCATCTTTCAGTGAACGGACACAGAATTTAATTTGCGGATTTGGGAATGTTTGAGGTTTCTACAATGGCTGTTTATTTTTACATATATTAACTCATCCTGGAATGATTATTATTGACAGTTCCAGTGTAAATGTCTTTAATGCAATATTTTTCACAGGATTTGGCCAAAAAGGCAAATAAATGCTGCAGAGAATGTGAAAAAGTTTTATTAAAATACTAAACTGAATTTTTTCAAGTTTTTTCAAGCTGCAGGAAAGAATTTAGATTTTATTCCTATTATTTAATGTTATAGGTAAATATTCAATATCAACTTATATTTTCTCTGTTTAAACTTTAATTTTTTCAATTTTAACTAAGATTTAGTAGGTTTAAAAACATTCTGACCCCTTTCTGACTCCATAGGTATCTCCAAAGGCAAACTGTTTTCTTATTTGGTTTTGTTTGCGGATTTAGTAAGAAATCCCAAAGGTCAGATTAAACTGTACTGCAAGGGAGCCGACACCATCATCTTTGACCGTCTGGATCCGTCCAGTGAAGAGCTGATGTACGCTACCTCAGAACACCTCAGCGTAAGTGTTATCTGATTGGTTAAAGAGTCTGCAGGATTCACACTGAGCTCTACTAAAGTATTTCTATCCTTTGAACTATTTTACATTAGGTTATATTACAACATACAAAAGCATCGTTCTGCTTTTTCATCCCAGAAAATACTTGTATAGTCAGAGGAAAAGGAAACAAGATTTAACTAATTTTCTTAATTGTTCTTGGAGAACTTTTGTTGCTCTCCCACTGGAGGGGGAACCTGCACTGGAAAAACGATCTAGAAAAAAGTAAAAAATGTCTTAAATTAAGTGTACTTACCTTTAATTTGAGTAGGTAAATAAGATAGTTTGCCAATGGAACGAGTATTTTTACTCTTGAAATTTCAATTTTTTCCAGTGTGGGCTCCAGTTTCAATTGTTTTCCAGCTTCCAACAGCGTAAAAAAAAAAAAAAAAAAAAAAAGCTGTTGGCAGATTTTCCGACCAGATCTGTTAACCTCTGCAGCTCCACACTGCAAAAAATCTAAATCTTGATAAGTCATTTTTTCTTAAAATAAGTGCATTTGTTCTTGAATTGAGGAGATAAAAGAGACATCTTGCCAATGGAACAAGACAATTTACATTTAAAATAAGAAAACACAATTGCATTCTCTTATTTCAAGTGAATAATATCTATTATCTTAGTAAAAATTCTGATTCCATTGGCAAACTATCTCATTTACCTACTCAAATCAAGGGTAAATACACTTAATTTAAGAAAATTTTATTATTTCTAGATCGTTTTTCCAGTGCACAGATTTATCATGGGCTTTTCGGTTGACATACTACGGAACCCCAGAGCGGCCATGTCCCTCTGATACTTTTTCATTGTGGTTTTCTCGAGAAAACAAGTAAATTTTTTCATTACCTAAAGATAACGAAAGCCATTTTCTTGTCATAATGAAATGATAATTTTCCCCTTAGAAAGCCGTTTTCTCGTCATAATGAGATGATTGTTGTGTGTTAAAACTGATAACATCCTTCAATACCACAACAGCGAGAGAGGATAAGTCATGGCAGCCTATGTGTGATTCTTTAATTAATCCTGTGGTTAACATTTAGGTAACGAGACAACGTTGTTGGTTTGATGATTTGCTTTCACTTCTGATTCATAAGAAATTAGACCTATGCCTCTGGCGCCTTAGCGCCTGGTGTTTTCTGAACAGCCCTGGTGTTACACCTGTAACCGGTATAAGCTGCATTAACCCCCAAAATGAGTCCAGATTCAAGATTTTCATTAAAAAACAGATTTGTTTCTACTCTATTCCATGCAATCCAATTATCCACCACCACCTGACAATGAGTGAAAAGAAAAAGGAATCTAAGAAACTGATTATTTACGCTCACGCTGTACTGTGGCTGCACAACTACGGGCCCTGCAGGCATGGATGGACCGGGAATCCAGGGCAGTTGGCCAGCCTCATTCATTACTCATACATGTTAATCAACTTGTTATCTCAAGAAATCATAGCTGCACTGGAAAAAGATCTAGAAATAAGTAAAAATTTCTTAAATTAAGTGTATTTACCCTTAATTTGAGCAGGTAAATTAGGTAGTTTGCCAATGGAATGAGTATTTTTACTCTTAAAATAAGATAATTAGATAATATGCACTTGAAATAAGACAATACAATCGTTTTTTTCTTATTTTAAATGTAAATTGTCTTGTTCCATTGGCAACATGTCTCTTTTAACTCCTCAATCCAAGACGAAATGCACTTATTTTAAGAAAAAATGACTTTTCTAGATATCGATTTTTTTATCTCTAAAAAAATCGATATCTAGAAA